TTTTCAAGAGTGTTCTTAGTGTTCTTGATATTTGTCAAGTTTGATCTTTGCATGCAAGCTCGGTTTTAATCTTGTAAGTTGTTTATTTTCATTTCCCTAAAAGTTCTAAGTGATATATTGACGTCAAGTTTTAATCGTAATCGTAAGTTATCGTTCGAAAGTTTTTATGAGTAAAACGATAGTTTGGATTATTCATATTATTCGTGTCAATAAAATAATGCCAAACTAAACTATTCGTTAGGGATAAGGAAATGATTGTGTCGGTTCGATGATGATGACGAATTGTTGATAGTTCCTATTATTTTGAGTTATATTTATTTTTATGATTTAAGTAGAACTAAACATTCTTTTAAATCTACTTAATCGACTTTTAACCCGAAAATGGCGAAGTTGATTGATCACGGCTCGAAATAAATAAGTTTACACGTAACTGTATTGCTTATATGTTAAGTGGTAAGCAAATACATTGATTTATGTTTATATTCTTACTCGTAACTGAATGGAATATGAACCTCTAAATTAGTGTGTTTATCGAATCATTTAAACGAACGATTAGTAATTCAAAGTTATCATTAGAATTAATACAATTATTTCCCGATTCCCTAACACTTTCCTCATCTTTATTCTTTTTACCTATTTACCATTTTTATTATTTTACTGTTGTTTATTCTCTGTTCTTTTCTTTTTATGTTTGTTAAATTAAATTAAGAATTTTAGTTAATTATAAAACCACATCAAAATGGATTAGAATGTTTAGGTTTATTTTCTCATTTTTGTATTTAGACAATTAAATAAAAAACAAAGCTCCGAACGACCTTCCTTGAGATCGACCCGAGGTCGGGTAACTCGGATACAAAATACCCACAAAAATCCTACGAACAGTATTCATCTTCGAGGCCCTTACACTGTGTTACGAAGTGGGGTGGATTCAGTTCGACTTTCTCCACATATGAGTTTATACATCCGGAGGTTGACAATAGAGCTCGGGTGGGAAAAGCTCTACGTCTAGAGTTGGGGATTGCTCGTACCCGAGACCGCTTTATCCATAACATGACCATCCGGATCCACTATGCCCGCCTTCTAGCCACACTGCCCGGGCTACCACTTCTCGAAAATACGTAGGCGTTGTTGGGTTCGCCTGTAACGTACGAGCTATACGCAGCGGAATTTAAAATTTTTAAAAACATGTATTTAAAATTAAATACATAACTCGTACATACATATGTCGAATAAACAGATCGTCATCTTTAAAAACATGTAATAATAATAAATTTTGATTTATTATAAGTAATTTCGAAAATTACCTTAGTTCTTGAACTCCTTCAAAATCGATGATGATTGAGGAAATCAATTCCCGGTTTGATAACGTCAACTCCTTGATGCTACTCGCTTTAGGAATCCAAACGTCTTCCCTCTAATCGTATCCACCTTTTGAAGTCCGGTTCCGACAATAGTTCCTTCGCTAGTAGAAACTACTCGGTTTTTCAATAAGTATAGAATATATATATTCATAAGGAAATTTTCAAGAACTCTTTCTTGATATATCACTTAACTCTTTGAATGTATTTTCTCTTGGAAGAAATCTTGCTCAAGACTTAGCAAATTTTGTGCAAACATTTTGCACCTATTTATACTAAACATTTTAGCATAAAATAATCAATATTTGATAATTGATTATTTTTAAATAAAATCAGATTTTATTTAAAAATTCATACCAAATATTGACTTTTAATAAATAATATGGAGTGGTTTATAACCACCATCAACTACCATTATTTTGTCTCTCAATTATTTGAATCTTTAATCATATTAAAGATAAAATAATAAAATAATAGTTCTTGAAAACATTTTTCAAGACTTTATTATTTTAATCTTTTCTTCCAATTTCCTT